CTTCGGCTCGTCGCCTTCTCTCTCCTCGTCCTTTTTCTCCTCCTTCTCGTCCTCGGAGTCAGTCGCCTCCTTCTCCTTTGACTTCTCCACGTGCAGCCAAGTGGGGAACCCGATGAACTCACATTGCTTTTTGACCAAATCCCTCAGGCGGCGCTCCCCCGGGAACTCCGCTTGGTCCTGCTTCTTCATCTTCCCGTGGGCCATCCCCGTGTCCTTCTACGCCGTGAAGGAACCGCCAGCATCGGACTCCCAGATGTACTACTCGTCGTCGTTGTTCTTGCTGATCACGCGAATTTTGTCCGAGACAAGATACGCAGAGTAGAAGCCGACAAGTGTACAAGTATTTGCTGTGACGCGAGCGGCCAAATTTCTTCCTCGAGACGACATCATTCTGTGAAAGTGTTGGCCCGCCAGATTGTCCCACCTGCTCTCGTAAGAGAAACCGATGCCGCGCTGCTAAAAGGGCCTGAGCGTCACGTGGATAACGAGGAGGATGACGAGGACGAGGAGGAGGAGGAGGACGAGGAGGAGGAGGAGGAGGAGGAGGAGAAGATGAAGGCGGGGCGCGGCGCTGCGGATTCGAAGTGGAGATCCAACATGACGGTAGGGTTGAGGAAAACTATATACAAAACCGCAATCGTCGAACCTCGATCACTCCTACTCTCTCTCCTACGGCAGGCTCGTGTCGGGACGACCCTGGCGCTGTCTCGAGTGACACCTCGTGGATTGTTCAGCCTTGATCGATCAGCGGCTTCCCGGTCGCTAGATCGTTCCATGCTGGCCGACTCTGGGCCTCCAGCGGCGTTCAGCGTGGAAGGCCCGCGGCGGGGTCTGACGATAGCACAACCCGCCTTCATCCCCTTCAGGATCACCCCCTCCTGGTTGGGGGTGGGGGTGTCGTTTTCTGGTTTCTTTAGGGGCCACAAAACCACCACCACCCCCATCCAGGACCTTCTGGATCACCACGTCGGGAGTGGGGGCCCTCGCGAAGGTGGCGGGGGGGTCAGGAGAGCCAAGAATCGAATCGATAAGTCGCATCGGCGATCGAAATGAATCGCACCCGCGTAAGACACCGGAGTCCAAATCGGAGTCCGAAACCGAACCGGACCGGAACCGGAAGCCATCGAAATCGAATCGAGCCGGATCGGAGGAATCGAAGCGAGCCCCGGGGGCTTTGTGCTGTCTTGATTACCTACCAGACCACCCCAACCCAACCCGAAGACCCGAATTTCGGGTTGGGGGGGGTAAGGGTTCCACATGTGTTTTTTCGATGTTTCCCGCCCCCCCCCACTGGAAATCGAGGGTAAATCTGAGCCTTCGGGTTGGGTTGGGGTGGTTTGGTGGGTGGTGATGTCCTCCGAATCGCCGCCGCGTCGGCACGGCGCGAGCGTGCCGTGCCCGGCGCGGCAGCGCTGGATGCGGGCGGCGGAGCCTTCTTGTGGCGGCGGCGGGGGGGCGGCGGCGGGCGGCCGAGGCGGCTCGTCGTCCGGCGGCTGGCAAGGCCCGCCTCGCCGCGGGGGTTGGCCAGGGAAGGGGGCACGAGGAGGGAAAGAAGAGATCTTAAGAGAGCTCGGCGTTGCGCGTGGTCAGTGCCGTGCCTCCCTCTCGCGTGCAAGCGTGCACGGGAGCCCTAAATACCTCGATCGATCGACGGACGCGTGCGCCGAGGTCGAGTGGAGCGCGCACCTCGCAGCCCTTCGTGCCGTTGAGCAAGGTGGCACTCGCAAGTCATGAGTCCCCTCGGGACCCTGGGGGTGACGTGACGGGCGGGCCGCGAGGAAAAGGGAGAGGATGCAAAGGACGACCGCGAGCGAGCCAGAAACCGCACCACGCTGACGCTCCAGTGTCCAGTTTGAAAGCCCATTGGCCTCGGAAGCGTCCGAGGCCAGCCTGAGCCAGAAGTCTCCCCCTCTTGTCTCCCTCTCCAGGGAGCCAGGGGTCGCTGTTGAAGTCTCTGGGGGGCTCTTCTCGGGGGGTCCCGAAATTTTCAGGGGGAGGGGGGAAAGGAATGTGTGTGTGTGTGTATGGGCTCGGACGCTCCTAGACGCGCGCGCGCGATTGCAGCTGTACGACTTTCTCCGCCCCCGTCGCTGCGCGCCGGATCGCGACGCCAATGATTGTGTGTGTGTGTTTATGTGCGTTTGTTTGCTTGTTTGTTAGTTTGTCTGTTTGTTTGGTGTGTGTGTGTGTGTGTCTGTGTGTGTGTGTTGGATCAGCCGCTTGGCAGGTCAGAAGATCTCAGTGCTCAGCCGCCTCACTGCTCAATGTGCCCGACCCCCCAAATGGTGTGGGCATCGCTGGCTGTTCAATCGCTTAGAAGATCAGAAAATCTAAGTGCTCAACCGCTTCGCATGTCTTCGTATTTTCCCCCCCCCCTGGGCCTGCGCCCGGCTGCCTTCTGGCCGCCTCCCCCAAATTGCTGCCCCCGCGCCGCCGCTGGCCCCCCCACCCCGGTGCCCGCCCTGCCGCCGCTGGGGCTTGCTCTGAGTGGGCCCAGCTTCCTCTCCCCCCGCCCGCGACGGGTTTCCACTCTCTCTCTCTCTCTCCCGTGTGCAATGCGGCCCAATTTGCATTTTGCGCGCCCCACTAATGCCACATCGCCGGAGCAGTAACCTCTGCCCAGCCGCCGACGCAAAAAGTGTGTGTGTGTGTGTGTGTGTGTGTGTGTGTGTGTGTGTGTGTGTGTGTGTGTGTTCGGAACGAAGACGGAAAAAGGGGATGGAGGAGGGAAGGCGGTGGAGGGTGACAAGATGGGTGCGCGCTCCACATCTGACATCCTACCCGTCCCACACTCCCCCCCGTCGCGCTGAGCTGTCTCTATCTGCCGACGGGTTTTCCTGACGGACCTGGGCCACCCCAAAAGGCCTCGTCTTGTGATACGCAACCAGACGACGGAACCTGTGTGCATTGGGGGAGGGAGAGGTGGCGAATACACAGGAAAATGGGCAGGAGGAAAATGAGAATGAGGGAAGAGGAAAACGAGGAGCAGCAGCTGCAACAGCAGGAGGGACGGGAATGCCAGAGGAAGGCGGAGGAGGGGAAAGGATGGGGGTGACGATGACGAGGAAGGAATCATACCCAGAATTGTGACCCGCGCTGGGGCGAGAGCGCCGTTCTGAACGACGGGGGCAAAGCGAGGATCCTGCCGTAAAGCCAACGTTTCAACACGATCAGTTCACATGAGCAAGCATAATCATAGCGCATTCCGGGCGATTTCATCTTATCATCCATATGAGCCAGCGACACCTCGCTGGGAACCGATCCGCGGGACGGGGTGCAATGTAGATGATAATGATCGCCTCCGCGAGGGTCGCCTTGTCGCCGTTGCCGTCACCGCCGTCATCTTCACATCCGCGGCGATGCCGTCTGTGGCCATGCGATTCCATCTCGATTCCTACATTCCGATACCGAATGCCAACCAAAAACAGAAGACGGGGCGCCCTGTCGGGGCTCCGCGACCAGGCAGGTGAGGCGGGCGCGCCGGTGTGCTGTCGCAAAGTCCTCTCGAACGCGGGCCTCGATGCGTTCGCCCAGGTGGCGGCAGCCCGCTTGGCGCAAAAGCGCCGACGTCGCGCCGAGGACGCGCGGTCCAACCGCCGCTCCGCTCCGCTCCCGCCAAGTGTCTTGAGCTCAAAGCGCGCGGCGCGGCTCGGGCACCGCACGCGCGCCGAAGCATGGGGTGCAGGCATCGCCCCGCCATGGCGGTGTTGTCGCGCGCGCCGCGGGCGCGGTCGCTTCATCAGCGCGAGCGCTGCGCGTGACTCGGCGCAGGCACCGCGACCGCATCAAACCGTATGGTGCAAGCGTAGCTTCGCCATCGATTTGCCGTCGCATGCGCCGCACGGGCAGTCGATCTATCCGCGCGGGGGCCAGGCGCGGGCACCGCGGGCACGTCAAATAATGGGGCGCGTATCTTCGTTGTCGCGCTGCTGGCGAAGGCGCCGCGAGCATGTTCTTTTCAGCGTAGGTACCGCCCACGTTCAAGCGCAGGCACCTCAGGCGCGTCACATCATAAGGTGCAGGCGTCGCCCTGTCATCGCAGGCGCCTGGGCAAGCACGTCTTGTTCTATCGGCGCAGGCACGCCACCCCATTAGGGGTCTTTAAATGATGAAAGATCAAGTGGGAAGGGGGGGGGCGGGGGCGCGCGCGCGAATTTTAGCATTGTATCACCGCCGTGGCCCGAAACGGGGCGTCGCTCCCTCAGCGAGGCGCGCGCGGGCGGGCGGGTTGTGGGGGGCGGTTGCACCACTGAGCGACGCCTCGAGGGGTTGAGCGAATGACGCACAGCTGCGGCGGCGGAAATTCGCGAGCGCACCACTCCCCGCGCAGGAAAAGTGAACTTATTATCTGGCCAATGGCGGGTCTGTGACAGGCATAAAAACATGGCGGCGCCAAATTCATAAAGGACAATGTGAACGCGCCTGTGATATGAAAAGACGCAGCAACCGTCCAAATGTTGCTATTCTGTGTGAGAGCAACACGCGTCAACCGCGGGGCCACGAAAACACGTGTTCAGTTGAGAGAGGGTCAGTGGTATACATATTGAATGATAGTATTTTGTAGAAGGCAGTGGAGTGGGAAGGGAAGGGGTGGACGGGCGGAGGGATGGGCGGGTGGATGGGAGGGACGTGGAAAAGGAGAGGGACCGTCCCCGCTGGGGAAAGGGGAGAGGGAGGCGGAATGAGGAAACAACAGGTGAAAGAGGAAGATGGAAGGGAAAGGGTGAACGGATGGAGGGACGGACTGGTGGATGGGGTGAACGGGTGGACAGGTGGAGGGGAGGAGGGACTAGCGGACAGGGGGGTGGGGACAGGGGGAGAAACGGCGGGACAGTGGGCGAGGGAGGGACTTTCTCCTCCTCCTCCTCCTTCCCTCTTCCTTACAACTACTCGTCCCATTCGCACCATAAGACATGTCGGTCGGACGGGCTGGGCGTTCGCTTGAGATTCCCTCGCACTTATGGCTCCCTTGAAATCCCCAGCGGTTATATGGATGAAAGGCGGGTCGTTTTCACAATGTTGCTTTGGCATGAACGCCTGGCGTGCCCGTCTGAAAACATCAGCATGATACTGGAATTTGCATCATTTTCAAACTGTGGCTCTCGCCCTTGCGACGCCAAAGAGGCGTTTTCAAACATGCGAGAACATACAATAATTGCATACATGCGTTTTCAAACTGATAGTCTCGCCTCCTCGGAACTGTCAACGGTGACAAGGATGGAAGGCGGTTTGTATTTAAAGTGTGAGTCTGACCATCGCGCCGCGCACATGCGTCTTAAGCTTACTGCTCCAACGCTTGCAAGCATGGAGGGCACACTGCTTTTAAGTGGGGCCTTCCCTTCACGCTTGTTTGGCCTCTGGGGCCACACGTGTAAACCTGTGCAGCGGATGGAAGGGGCGGCTCCTCCTCAGCAGTTGGTTCTCGCTCGAGGCGTCATCAACTTGCAGGGCCATCGATGCAACACTGACCAACAGTGACATGGACGGAGGGCGGCGCTTTCTGAACTGGGCTCTCGCTGGCCGATCCGTGGATCTTTGGCAGCCAACCCCATGGATCTTCCTGTAGCCAAACAAATGGAAGGTGCTTCCAACTCAAAGCTTCGCTCTCGCTGGAATGGCAAACCAACGGTGCTCTCGTCTTGCAGGGGGTGCAGGGGGGGGGTCGCAGTGCCAAGGAATTCTGGTAGCGACTTACGACGGCGGGACTTGGGACGGGAGAGCGCACTGCAGCATCGCTGACGCATCCCGGGCTTACTGTGGCCCTCCTGCTCCTTCTCATCTTCCCTCTCCTGTGCCCGCCCCGCGTCGCCTTTTTGGAATCCCCTCCCCTACAGTGAAAACGTATAGTAAGGACGCGTGGTAAGGACGCAAGACCCTTGGAGGCCGAAGTTGAAGTATTCTGGGCGGCAGGCGGCCAAACCCCTAGGGAACCTGAGAAACTGGCCTGCGAAAATTGCTAGGGACGGGCAGCAGAGGCTGAGGCAGGCAAGGACCCAAGGGTACCCTTGAAAAAGTCGTTTGTCCTCACTATGCGCGTTGACTGTACCACTGCTCGCCCCTTTGAGGTGTCGTCCTCCACCCCTTCCTCCTCATCATCCCCCTCCTCCTCCTGGCGCTCCTCCTCGCCCGAGACGGCCGGGGGCGGTCGCCAAGGGCATCCCGAGGGCGGAAGCTGCCCCCTCTCGCGGGGGGCCCGAGGTGCCTCCGGACGGCGGCGGCTCGTCCTTTCTCGGGGCGGCGGGCGGCGTCCTCATCCTCGCCCTTGTCCTCCGCCTCGTCCCTCCCCGTCCACCCCCGTCCCTTCCAGACTCTTTTCTTCCTCCTCCTCCTCTTCATCCTCTTCCTCTTTCTCCTCCTCCTCCTCCTCCTCTTCCTCCTCCTCTTCCTCCTCTTTCTCCTCCTCCTCCTTCCCGTCCCCGCCCGCTTCGTTGTAGTCACCCTTTTCCTTGTCCCCGTCCCACCTCCTCTTCCCGCTCCCGCTCCCCCTTTCCTTCCCCCTTTCCCTCCTTTCTCACCTTTTCCTACTTCTGGCCGCTCCCCTTTTCCCCGTCATCATCGGGGGAACCGTGTTTTTCGGCCGCCTCCTTCTCATCCCACTCTTTCTCTCTTGTGCCTTTCCATTTGTATTCAACCTCCCTCCCTCCCTCTCTCATTTTATCCTTACATCCCCTCCTGCCTTTCCTCATCCCGATCTCATATCATGTCTGCGTCGTCGCCGTCCTCCTCCCCCTATTTTTGGCGCGCCCCATAAATATGCATACATACATATATATATATATATATATATATATATATATATATATATATAGATGTTTGTAGACATAATGACACTTGTATGTACGTTGTACATATTGGCGTACATACATGTATGTAGTGTTTATGGGTCTCTATATATGCGTGTTTGTGTTTGTGTTTGTGTATGTATGACTATGGACACAAGCATGTATCTGTCAGCCATCGTGGTCACCTAAACCAGTTTGCGCTTAACAATGTAGGTGGTGCTATCTATGTGGACCAGTCTGCGCTGGTGCAATCTACGTGGAGCAAGATCTCTGCTGCAACCTGAGTGGCTCAATTTTTCATATGCAAGGTACGCTTGCAGTTAAATATTTGCAACCTGTGTTGTGCGGTCTATTAGGGGGAATTTATGTTGTGCAATCTACGATATGCAATCCAAGTGCTGCAAGTAACCTTGCCGAGCTTGGAATTGTCAAGTCCACCGCTCGCGCAGTCATCCCATCCACCCACCCGAAGCTTGGTCTGTAAAGTTCCTTGCGACGGCGATTTCGATGACTGCTTGGCGCTGGCTGGCGCATCGTTGCGAACCCGCTAGCGCGCAAGTTCGCGCGCAAAATGGCCAGCTAATCTGGCGAAGCGGACGCGGCCGCGGTGGTGCTGCCCGCTGGGGACTCCCAAGCGCGTCTCGCAAGCCGCGCTGACGCGCGGGCATGTCACTGCGGGTTGGTGACTCGGGCGGGCGCGATATCATGGTGACGCCAACAACGGCAGACACGATGACGATAATAGCGATGCTGGTGGCGACGGTGACGATGACGGCGGCTAGGCCAGTGATGGCGCCGATGCTGATCACGCCGTGATGGCGTCCACGTGTCGGTGATGAAAGCTTTGGAGCGATTTCGAAGTGCGCGCGGCCGGCGAGCACGAAAGGCCCGCATTGTAGAATTCGGAAGGGATCGTCTACCCCCAACACATGCGCAAGAGCGTCTGGATAACTTGGGCATGCGCGCGCGAGAGGCCCACTTGGTCGAATTTGATGCACATGTTGAAGAACTTCGGGCTTTCTCAAAAATAGGGCTTTCACGAACTCACCGAATTTCTTTAAAAGCCATGTTGAAACATCATCGTTCCCCCCGCACATTTTCGAAAACCTCGATCTGGAATGTGTTCGGGAGTTTTTTCTTCATCTTCGTCATCCTCTGTTGTAAGGAATTCTTGGAAACTGCTGGTTTTTGATAAACGATTGGCCGCGGCTAGCGTCGGACCTGTGGCCGCCGATGCGGAGGCCCAAACCATCTGTGCGCGCATAGGGGATGAGGGAGGGGGCACTACCAGCTTGGCTGGGATGATATGAGTTCACATGGGAAATGAACGATGGGGCAGACTCGTATGTAAATTGCACATTCCCAGGGGGGAGGATAAGTCTGGAACGCAGTTGTAGATCGTACTTCGTCGCTGAATAAAAGAGAATGCATGTGGTGCAACCTATGGTATGCAATTGATTACGCCGCACCGCGCGTGACCACCTCCCATGCTCGTGCAAACATCCCATCCTCACACCCGCATCTTGGTCGGCAGAACTCATAAGGTTGCGACCGCAATTGCAGCGTTGAGCTCGCCCGCAAATTTCATCGAGCTCACTGGCACGCGGGCCCTCGTGGCGCGGGCAAAGTCCATCTTGCGGGAGACAACGCGGACGACAACGTCGACAAACGACGACGGGGTGGTTGGCAGAACTCATATGGTCGCGAGTACAGTTGCAGCGTGGAGCTCCTCCGATGATTTCTTCATTGGCGCGCGGACGCTCGCCGCGCGGGCAAAGCCCATCTTGCGGGAGACAGCGCGGACGACGGCGCCGACAAACGACGATGAGAATGGTCGCGACGCTTCCGACGGCAATGATGACGATGACGGTGCCCCGCATGGTATTATTTGACCGGGATCATGGGATCCTGCCTCTGGCAAGCGCGCGAGGGCATTGGGATAATTTCGACATGCGCGCGCGAAGGCCTCCTTGGACAGGACAATTTAACAAAACATGGGGATTCCTAGGAATACGCAACAGCGCGCGGGATGAAAGGTTGAAAGCTTTTGTTCAAAAACACTAGGTTTTTGGTTTTGCTGTTTTCACGATGAACTCGTAACGAAAACAAAGGTTTTGTAAGGATTTCGTCTTGCGCGCGCATGTGGCCCGCATTGTATTATTTCATACGGTTTCGTGCATTCAGCTCATCTTGGATCAATGCATGTGCACCGTGTGATATTATGTGACAGGGGTGGCAGGGATGAGGGGGGGACCCGACACCGGGACTAGCTGGGATGGTATGGATCAGTGTGGGAAGTGAACAAGGAGGCAGAATCAGGTGTAAATTGCACTACCCCTGAGGGGGAATAGTCATCCCGGCTGGCGGCTCCTTGGGCAGCAGTGGTACTGCCGACGGCGACGCGCCGACGGCTGTCGTGCGTGTGGCGCCAGGCGCCCAGCCGCTGGCACATGTGCTGGCGCCAGGCACCCGGCAGGCGTGCGGCCATGACGCCGATTTGCGAGAGGACGGCGCTGTCGTGGCCAGCTGGCCATCGCTCGGACGTCCATTCCCTGTGTTTTTTTCGGGTTCGTGCGTGGTTTTTTCGCCAAATGATCAAGGATGCTTCTCGATGGCCCTCGCCGAAGGAAAAATGCACACGTCCGAGCGATGCCAGGCCAGTTGAGGCGCCTTCGATGGCGGTGCTGCTGGCCCTTGGCTCGCGCCTGGCGAGTGGGCCGACACGCGCGCAGAGGCCGTCGTCTTCTGAGAGGGCTTCGCTGTGGGTTGGCGTCTGGCTGCGAGAGAGCAGGCCGACAAGACGAGCGATGAGCTTGCTGTGGCTTGTGATCGTGCTAGTGATGTTGCCCTTCCTGCTCCCAGCGCTGGTCGTCCAGATGATCTTCCAGAAACTTGTGATGATGGTCATGGTAAGCCTGTTCTGGAGGGTACCTGCTGGGGATTACCTTCGACGCGAACCTGTCGATCCACGTTTTCTTCCTGAATATCCGGCTCTTGGAATACCCGCTGGAGGTGATGTACTTCCTGGATCCCTTGATGGCCGAACAACGGATCTACCTGGAGCTGGTTGTGTTTGTCACCGTAAAACGTCCCTGGATCATGCTGGTGTTGTTCTTCCCTCTCCCAGCGCTGGTCGCGCCGACGATCTTCCAGCAGCTCTCGATGATGGGTATTGTAAGCCTGTTCTGGATGGACCTGACGAGATGCCTGCTGAGAATAAATATAGAAATGTTCATCCTGGCAATCTACCTGCTGATGATGCTGATAGCCGTAAACGCATTCCTGGACGACTTTTTTGTTCCTGGGGCTATGGAGGGCGCACCAAGCCGTGGCGCATGCGTGGCTTGCGCCCTCCAACAATACGCCGTACACGGAACCTACTGCTCATGCTGTTGGTCTTGACTCCGTGAAGCGCTTCGCAAAACTCGTGAACATGATTCTGACTCCCATCGCCTTCCGTTTAGGTTTGCTCCGAACAGTTTCCGTCCCCTCGAAAACCATGTTGTTGGTGACCCTCGTAGGGAGTACCGGCGGAGGCGTCAGTCTATGCAGCTGCCTTTACGTGGGTGGGGGAGGAGATACGAGGATGGGGGTGGATGCTTAAGGAAAGGTGGCTACCTGTGCTGCCGTCAGGACTTGGGAATCCAAATGTTGTATCGTTCTAGGAAACTGACTACCTACCAGACCACCCCAACCCAACCCGAAGACCCCAATTTCGGGTTGGGGGGGGTACGGGTTCCATATGTGTTTTTCCAATGTTCCCCGATCCCCCCCCCACTGGAAATCGAGGATAAATTTGGGCCTTCGGGTTGGGTTGGGGTGGTTTGGTGGGTGGTGAGAAACAGTCCAGCGTGCTTGCTTGCCGCTTGCTGCGCTTGTTAGCGCTGTCCCTCGTTGGTCTCGGGCCCTGTTTCCTCCTCGGTCGGTACCTCAGCTCGCCCTGGTCGGCCCCCTGTGGCCCTCGCTCTCGTCTTGCGGGCCCTCGTTCGGTTCCCGCGCGCTGCCACGCGCGCTCCGGGAGCCAGCGCTTGACTCCAGCCCGCGCCCCAATCAGAAAATCCTCCTCCTCCTCCTCCTTCCACTGCTCTCCTCCTCCTCCTCCTCCTTCCACTGCTCTCCCAGTGGCCGCCCTCCATGGCGTCCTGCGGCTGCGACGGGCCCTCCGGTGGTGCGGGCGGCGGCGGCCCCACTTCTGGCGGTGGCGGCCTCGGCGGGCCGCGCGGCCGCCGCCGGCCCCAGCGCGCATTTTCGGGGCACGAGGAGCGGGTGACGCTGCAGGTTGTTGGCGCTCCCCCCACGCACCGCCACAACTAGGGAGGGGGGGTCCTCCCCCCACTCTTTTCCCCCCTCCTACTCCTCCTCCTTCTCGTCCTCCTTATCCTCCTTCCTCCTCCGTCTTTCCGTCTTTTCCTCCTTGTCTCCCCGTTCCTTCCTCCTTGTCCTCCTCTTCGCCCTCCTCTTCCTCCATTCCTTTTCCTTGCAAAAAAAATTCTCCCCGTCGCACGCCGAAGCCAGTTTTTTAGGGCGGGCCGGGCGTTTCGCCTGAGACTTCCTCACCACTAATGACTCTGAAACCTGAAACTTGGCAACAATTCTACAGATGGAGGGCGGTTGGTCTTCAAAATGTGGCTCTCGCCTTAGCGCCGCGCGCATTCGTTTTAAACATTCGCAAGAATTGCACGAATTGAAAGCGGGTCGTTTTCGAACTGTGGCTCTCGCCCTAACGCCGCGCGCATTCGTTTAAAAAACCCACCAGTCCTCTGGGCGTAGGTGGTTTAGGGCGTTCCCTGTTCCACCCCCTTCTTCCCCATAGTGGAAGGGCTTATCACTGTTCCATATTAATAAACACCCCCTCCCCCAAGCGACTGGTAGCCAACCCAAAACCATGCGGGCACCCCCGGCCCCAAGAGGTGGCTAGGAGGCCCCAAGAGGCCCCCAAGATGCCCCCAGGATGCCCCCAATGGGGCTCCTCAGAGACCCCCAAGAGGCCCCAAGAGGCCCCCCAGAGGCACCCAAGACGCTCCAAGAGGCCTCGGCGACAATGCCAAAATCATTGATTTTGCATGAATTTTGACATCATTTGGCCTCCTGGGGGGGTCAAGATGCCCCAAGACCGCTCCGAGACGGCTCTAAGTGGCCAAAAAGCTCCCCCAAGAGGCCCCGAAGGGGCCGAAATCCTTACCAAACCTTAGGGAAATCAATGTTTTTGGCTTTCTCGCCTTTTCGCTTTCGATGGCCATCCGAGGCTTCAAGATGGCTCCAAGATGGCCCAAGAGGGTTCCAAGAGCGCTCCCAAGGCCCCAAGAGCGCTTCAAGAGGGCCCCAAGAGGCGCCCAGGAGGCCCCAAAAGGCCTCCAACAAGCGCCCAAGAGGCCCCCAAGAGGCTCCCAAGAGACCCCCTAAGAGGCCCCAAGGAGCTCTCCGACGCGTCCGGGACCGCCAAGAGGCCCCCAAGACGCTCCAAGAGGCCTCCACTGGGGGACCCTTCCTCTGTGTGCTACCCACTTCCCTGATCGAGGCAATTCCTCTGGGCATCGTTTCTGGATGGGCTGGTGGGGTTACTTTTTTTCGGTCGCGGCCGCAAGCGAAGAGGCAGGCGGCGGGCAGGGAGTCCGGGCAAACGGGCAAGCCTAATTAGCTACAGAAGGCACAAGCCGGCCGGCCCACTCACAAAGCAGCTGCGAAGCTGAAAGGGGAGCTGACGGCGGGGGGCATCCTGGGAGCTCGAGTACGTGTACAGGACGAAATGTCGAGGAATTCGGTGCCTGCCATAGGCACGGCCCACACAGTACCAGACGTGAATCAGAGTAACCGAGTCCGTCGTTCTGAGTGTGGGCAAGCGCGAGGCCCGTGGAGCGAGTCGCCGGTGGGGCGCCAGGCTCCAAACGCCAATGACGACGTGTGCTAGCCAGGGGGGCTGAACTGTCGCGGACCGTGGTGCAACGCAACTTGCTGAAAGCTGATGGTGAGCCTGGGGTGCTGCAGCTGCTGCGGAAGGCTGAACCACTCCGTGGCGATATCAACACCCGCCAGTCCACCGGTCCACCGAACAGTGCAGGGGGAAGCCGAACGACTGTGAGCCACGCAGAGCGTAGCGGCACGGCGTCAACCCTCAGAGTGAGGGGGGAAAACCAGCCGGCGTGGTGAGCATCTGGTGGGGTTACGTGAAGCGTCCAGGATTTGGAAGAGTTTCACGGATTGAGGGCGGGTGGTTTTCAAAATGTGGCTCTCGCCTTAGCGCCGCGTGCATTCATTTTAAGACATTGCAAGAGTTTCACGCATTGAGTGGGGTTCCTTTTCAAAATGTGGCTCTCGCCTTAGCGCCGCGCACATTTTTGAGACATTGCAAGCGTTTCATGGATTCAGGGCAGTTCCTTTTCAAACTGTGGCTCTCGTGTTAGCGCCGCGGACATTCGTTTAAGACATATGCAAGAGTTTCACGTACTCCCATCATCAACGTACCAGAAATTGTGTTTTGGAAGGATTCAGGATTACGCGGGTGCAACAGTTACGTTGATTCCCTGTGTTGAAATCCTAGGAATGGCGTTCTGGCATGATTCAGCATCGTCAAGACGCAACAATCAAGTTGATCCGTGGCGTTGGAACCCGAGAACAATGTTTTGGTATGCTTCAGGGTCTTCACACGGGTGTCTTCCAACAAGGCAGTTCCATTAATGGAGATGAACCGGTGTAGGGGTCTATGAAGAGGGAGCTTGGATGGAGGGATTACTCCAACATCGCTGACGACTCTTGGGTTTACACTGTTCCTCCTCCTTCTTCTCCTCATATTTTTCCAATGTCTCTCTCTCTCTCTCTCCCTATCTCTCTCTCTGCACCCCAAAGTTCCAGGAACGCAAGGACTGGTGCAAGACAACTCATTTTGGGGCATTCGTCCCACCACCCCTTGGGCCAAGGTGGTCTAACGAACTCTTACTTTCCTCCTCCAAAAACCTCTTCCTTTCCGGGAGGTTCACCTCCCCCCTAGCTGTTTTTGTTTTGGGAGGGGGGGGGGGCGTTCGGTCAGAGCGCCCAAGATGGCTCCAGGGCCTCCGGTGCTCCAAGATGGCCTCCAAGATAGCCTCCAAGATGGGTCATGATAGCCGATGATGGTTCAAGATAGATTCCGACATACCTCCAAGAGGCTCGACGAAGGCCACACGACGGTTCCGAGTGCTCTCGGATCCCTCTCAGGACCCCCAAGAGGCAATAACCTTCAAACACCTGAGGAACATCCATCATTTTTGCCTTCTTGCCTTTTCGCTTCCGATGCGCTTTTGAGGCTTCAAGATGGCCTAAGAGGGGCCCAAGAGCGCCCCAAGAGGGCCTCAAGAAGCGATTTTGCTGGTCCCAAAAGGGGGAAGCACACTGCCCCCCCCCCTCCCCCCTGGCTACCCCCCCTTTCTGATCGACGGCCTCCGATATTGCCCCAAGAGCCCTCTTGGGGCTCCCAGGGGAGCCCCAAGAGGGCCCCATTCAGTGCCACAAGATGGCACCAAGACCGTCCAAAAGAGCCTCGAGAGGACCCCACGACCCCCCAAAAGAGTCCCAAGAGGGCTCCCTCCTCCTCCTCCGTCGCATGCTTCCGTGACGTGGGGGCCCCTGGGGATCTCGACGCCCCTCCCGAGCCCGCGTTCCAGCCCGAGCCGTTCTGCTGAGGGCCTCCGGTGGCCGACAGCACTGAGGAAACGGCCGCGACGAACTCGCTCTCTTACCATGGGGCCCCTGGACCCCTCGACAATTTCCCAAGGGGTACTCCAGATTTCGTAACAAAAGGGAGGGGGTCTGGACCCTCCAAGACAAGCCATTTCAGACCCCCCCCCCGTGGGAGAACCCTCCAAAACATCGTCCCCAGACCCAGGCCCTCCAAGATAGCCTGGAAGAGACCCCCCGCGAACTGAGACCCCCCTCCCTTTATTACGAAATCTGGAGTAGCCTTTGCCACGCATAATGTTCCGACGGCCTCGTGAGAACCCGCAGCACGGCCCCCGGGCGCCGAAAACTGCCAAGACGCTGGAGGTTTGGATCCGCGACGACGGGACCTCAGGGTACTCCTCCCTTCCCCGGCAGGCGGGGACTCTTCCTGCCAACCCGCTCCCCCGTTCAGTTGAGGCGGACCCCTGAGGCAACGAATGGCCTGTTTTTGATTGCGAGCTATCGTGTGAGCAACAATTCGATCACGATGAGTGTGACCTGGCGTAAATACCCGCATCCGTTCGGGCCCCCAAACCATCTGGTGACGGACCGCGCGGTGACCTCGGAGTCACCAACGACCGCACCGCGCGGTCCGTCATCACACGGTCTTGGGACCCTGGAGGCCCCGGTCGCCCGAGATATCGTCGGAGAACGACCCGAGTCCCAAAACTGCGTGGTGTGGCCACCACACTTGTTTTTAGGCCAGAACTTGGCTCTCCGGCGGCCGGCAGGGACGCTTCGGGCACCCCCAGAACGCCCTCGGCGAGGCGCAGCTGATGGAAACCACCCCCGGGCTCGGAAACTGGCGAAACCTACGGAGAACTCCCGAAAACTACAGAAAAAACCCACCACGCGGTGTGGTCACCACACCGTCTGGGGGCCTCCGCGACCGGCCGACCGACCGGGGCTTCGCAAACGGGGGCTCAGCTGATCGGGGGCTGAGGCTTTTCCACATGCCCCCGTTTACTATGCCCCCGTCCACGGCGCCCAGAGCCCCCGGAACGGGGGGCACAACTAAACGTGGAAAGCGGCGCTTCCCGTGCCCCCGCTGGCTGTGCCCCCCTCTCCAGCGCCCTGAACCGAACCCCCGGCTGGGCGCTGCCTGGGGCCCCCACCGGGCGGCGGGCTCCGGCTCCTCCGCGGCGGGCTCCGCGGCAGCCTCCTCCTCGTCCTCGTCCCGCGGCTCCTCCTCCCAGGAGGCCAGCGGCGCCAGGGGGGGGGGGGCCGCGGAGCGCTGCGGGGCGCCCTCGGTCTGACCAGCCTCGAGCTCATCTCCATCCCCAAGGTCGGCAAGCCTCAGGCGACGGTCTTCGGTTGAGGGGTGAACAAAAAAACGCCCTGCCCAGGGTTGCGAGTGCGCGGTCTGACACCCTCCTGGGAGCTCTCAGAGGCAAGAGTCGCCAGGACGCCGCGCGACACGCGCGAAACGCAGGGTTTACCCTGACAGCCTACAGGAGGTTCAGCGCACAGCGCCTCGCAAACTAGGATAATTAGGGGCGTTGTTAACGAACTTGATTAGGGATGTGCCCTCAGAAACTGAGGGAATCCTTAAGATCGGCACCAAGACAAGGCGATGCCACAACGTGCTTCGAGCTGGTAACGATCCCTCCTCGGAGGGTCACGAACTCGTTCTCCAGAGATTGGCAATTGTCGACGTTGCGTGCAAATCTGCGATGACATTATTTTTGTCAACGGGCTGTTTCCTCGGTGTCGATCCTCGGGGGCCACTTTCGGGCCCTGGGACCGTCAAACATGGATCTGGCACGATACACTGCACCCAGGAAGGGGTCGGGGCATCCTCAGGGCCGCGCATGGGAAACATCCCATCGTCGGATGAGCGAAATTTTTGGCCTGCCATCGACGCCCCACGCCCCCTCTGGTCTCCGCCGCCGAGCTCATCCACGAGAAGCAGAAGTAGGCAAGCGCATTCCACTACTCTCAAAATAATCACTCGCAAGTGGCCTGGATCTGCCGCGAGGGATTTACGATCCATTGCGTCGAGACAAACATTTTTGTTGGTTTGCTAGCAGGCACTTTGCGAGTAGTGGAAAGCGCTCGTCGAAGAAAGTTGGCGCTGGGGGGGTCACGGTGGCGAAGGCGGCACACGGCTCCAAAGGGGGAGCGCTGTATCGCACCCCGCCGCCAATCACGATGAGTTGCAACATCCAGACCGAAACAGAAGCGCGCGCCCCTGATCCCCGCGGTGGCCACGTACAATCCCGAGATCGGCAGTGCCAGGAGTCCCCCGTGACGTGAGCAAAACGGAGTGCCGAGGAAGGCGCTGCCGAGGTCCGGGGGAACAAGAGGACGCCACCCAGTCATACACATAGAGGCCTCCTAGATGGGGTCGGAATAGATGGGGTCGGAGGATCGCCCCGCATCGCCTATGCATCGGCGATGCATCGGCGATGCACCGGCTGCACATCGAGCCGCATCGGCGATGCATCGAAGATGCGGCGCGATCCTCCGACCCCATCTACTCCGACCCCATCTAGGAGGCCTAGCACACACCCACACCGGTTCCCGCCAGGCCCATCCGGGACGCTGGCCTCGTGAACGGCAAGCTCGTGCCGCGACGACGTCGACGTTGGCTCCCGTGACCGCGCGGGTCGTTCACCCGCGTGGGGAGGGGGAGGGGGAGGAGGAAGGGGGAAGAGGAGGAGGAGGAGGAGGAGGAGGAGGAGGAGGGAGGAGGAGGAGGAGGAGGAGGAGGAGGGAGGAGGAGGAGAGGAGGAGGAGGAGGAGGAGGAGGAGGAGGAGAGGAGGAGGAGGAGGGAGGGAGGAGGAGGAGGAGGGAGGAAGGAGGAGGAGGAGGGGGAGGAGGGGAGGAGGAGGAGGAAGGAGGAGGAGGAGGAGGAGGAGGAGGAGAGGAGGAGGAAGAGGGAGGAGGGAGGGGGAGGGGAGGGGGAGGGGGAGGAGGAGGAGCTCAAGGGGCTCAAGGGGCTCAAGCTCCTCCCAGCCCCCTGCGGTGGCAGGCCTCCCGCCCGCCCTGCGCGTGCCCTGGGCGCCGCATCGGCTGCGGGACATGGCGGCCGCCGCCGTGCCCTGGCGGCCGGCGGGCGTCCCGCGGCGGCGGGCCCCGCAGGGCCCCCCCCCTGCGGGGCCAGTCTGGGCGTCTGCCTGGTCGCTGGCGCGGAGTTCGCAAACGTCCCGAAAGGCCTCCATCCTACCTCGAAGGTTCCCGCGGCGGGCTGGGAGCAGCTCATGGCGTGCGTCGCGTTCGGGGAGCAGCCCCAGGACCAGTCAGCTGGCACCGGGGCCGCAACAGGCGCTTTCGCGCACGCGGCCAGGGCGCCTGTCGACTTCGACTGGCGTGGATGTCGCGGACATCCCGTACGGCCTCGGCGCTATCATGGAGGCTCCCGCAGCGTGACCCGGGGCGCGTTCCGCGTGTTGTCCGTGGGCTAGTCCTCTGGCACTGTCGCGCGCCTGACGGCAGGGCTGGGCTGGAGTTGGCCTGCCCTCTTCCCACTCGCCATTCGGCGAGGCCTGCACTGGCAGGCGCCGCACTTGCGTGACCTCTATCTTCCTCCCCTCACCTTAGCGTCCGCGCTTCGCGCCTCTCGGGCAGGGCAGGGTTTCGGTCTGGACTTCGTCCGCCCCCGAAGGCTCGTCCTCTCGCTAGAACCTGAGCGCGCGCGGGGGGGCTCGTGGGGCGGCTTTCGTGTTTCGGCCTTGCTCGCAGGACTGTGCTTCGTCTGCGATCGTGCCGCGGCTACCCACGCTGCAGGCGCCTCTTCGCCGTCGTTGTTGTCGTCGTCGTCGTCGTCGTCGTCGTCGTCGTCGTCGTCGTCGTCGCCGTCGCCGTCGCCGTCGCCGTCGCCGTCGCCGTCGGCGCCGGTGTCCGGCCTGCCGGGCTTCCCTCGGCCTGCCGGTCTTCCCGCTTGCCGTTTGACTCTCTTGGGGCCCCTCTGCGCAGAGAGGTAACCGTGACTCGCCCCCGGGCCCCTGTTGGTTTTCTGTCTCTCACTTTCGTGGGGGAGCTGTGACTCTGTCTGGCACCTCGCTTGTCCTCTTCCTCCGTCCCTCTCTTCCGGTTCGCGGGGCCTCTGTGCCTCTCCACGTTACTTGCAGGTTCGTGTTGTCCTTTTGCCCTGTGCTTTTGAGGACACCTCCGGGGCCTCCGCGGACCTTCGAGCTCCTGTGTGTGGTGCTTGCTTTCGTTTCCCGGCCGCGTGGCCGTTACCTTCGGGCTAGCAGCGTGAGGGTGTGTGTCTGTAGGTTCGCTCCCTTTCCAATCCGACGGGCTGGCCTCCCCCTTCGGAGGTGCCGGCTGTTGCGGGGCGCCGGCTGTTTCAGGGCCCCCCCTCGAGCCACTGTTCGGATTCGTCTCCCAATTCTGTCTGGGCGCTGCGACCTTTTCGGCCACAGGCCAGCCGGCTTCGGTGTGTGGTGCAAGCTTTCGTGTCCAGGCCGAGTGGCCGAGAGAAAGTGTCCCCCGTTGTTTTTCCGCCTCCCCCTTTCGGTGGTGCCGGCTGTTGCGGGGCGCCGGCTGTTTCGGGGGCCCCCCTCGTGCCACCGTTCGGATTCGGCTCCCAATTCTGTCAGAGCGCTGCGACCTTTTCGGCCGCAGGCCGGCTGGCTTCGGTGTGTGGTGTAAGCTATCGTGTCTAGGCCGAGTGGCCGAGAAAAAGTGACCCCCGATGTATTACCGTCGTGCTCCTCTTCCTCTTGCGTCTCAGCGTGCCTCGGATGCTTTCCCGCCACTTGGCGGCGCCTGCACTTGCAGGTTGGCCCCCGCAAAAGGCGAGGGGGGCGCACTTGCGACCATCGACCCGCTGCACGCCCAGCACTACAATTAAGTCTTCTACGTGATGTCGACCGTAGCTTGGGCTCGACTGCCAGCCCCCCTTGCGGCCTTGTCTCCCTCCCCCTCCTCCCGTCGTCGTCGCTGTCGTCGTCGTCCTTCTCCTCGTCCTTCTCCTCGTCCTCCTCCTCGTCCTCCTCCTCGTCCTCCTCCTCCTCCTCCTCCTCCTTCTCTTCCTCCTGGCGCCTGAACGTCCAGACCGTTATGCTCGGTCACCCTCTCTCCTCCTCCCTCCTCTCCCCTGCTCGTCCCTCGCCTGGCTGCCCCCCTCCCCGGGGCGTCTCCTCCCGCCGCCCTCCTCCCTCTCCCCTTTTCCCTCGCCTGGCTGGTGGTGGTGGAGCTGTGGCGGGGAGTGGGAAGACGACGAGGATCCCCGTGTCGACGCGGCCAGTTGGCAACACGCGCACTTGCGCTCGCGCACTTGCGCTCCGCCATTTGGCGACGTGGCAGGCGCGGCTCCCAGGGGGCCCCTACAACTGCCTCGCATGAAGCGACACCCGGCCCCCATGGGAGCGGGCACGCGCGCCGGGCATTTGCCCCACTGCCAGCGCCCTACTCGGGACTGCGTATGCCTGCCCTTTGCCCGGGGCTTCGGCACCAACGCGCCCCACTTGGGTGCGCCTCAACCAGAACCAGAACCAGGAGGGAGGAGGAGGGGGAGGGGGAGGGGGAGGAGGAGGAGGAGGAGGAGGAGGGAGGAGGAGGAGGAGGAGGAGGATGAGGGGGGAGGAGGAGGAGGAGGTCGCGGCTTTCCGCTAGCGCGGATCGGCCGACCTCGGCAGAGCGCGGGCCACGGGCGTTCGGCCCTGCACGCCCGCGCGGGGGTCGCCGCGGCGTCGGCGCGGCGCGAGCCTGCTGGCCAAACCAGGAGGGCGGCGTATGTGAAGGGGCCCAGGGACACACAAATAAATACACACAAATAAAAAGATTCCCCATATTTTCCAATATTTTCTGGGTTTCTGTCTTCCCGCCCAATTCCCATATTTTCCTATATTTTCCTGGGAGGCGACGATTAATTGTGTCTATGTGTTTCCTCCCCTCCTGAGTATGCACCGATCCTGGACACAGGATCGGCCTGGCCAGGATCGGTGTTGGAGTATACGGCAGGTTCGTGTCGTGCCGACCCCAGCGTTGGTTTTTGACACAGCAGGGATCGTTCAACCTTGAACGATCGGCCGCTGCCGCAACGTCCGATCGTTCAACATCGATCGATTCTGGGTCGCCGGCGGCGTTCAACCTTGAACGCCCGCGCTGGGGTCGCCGCTGGTCGACACGACGCAAACCTACCGTAGTTGGCGCGCCCCGAGGGGAGTACTTTGATGCTTCGCTGGGCGTCGCGGAAAAGCACAGGCATAGAGACGTGTGCTTTTCCACAATACCAGCTTCCAGCGCACCTCCCGAGCTGTCGTGAAGAACAGCCCACGGCAAAACATCAATCCTTGGGATGGTGTCGGGAGCTCCGAAGATGCATTTTGTGAATCGCGGCGTTGGAGGTTTAGGTCCTCCTCCGGCACCCAGCCCGTGAGCCAATCAGTCGGTCAGTCAGTCGGAGGTTTGGCTCCTCCCTTCCCTCCCATCCCCTTCCATCACTAATTCTGCCTTACCTCCTCCTCCTCCTGCTCCTCCTCCTTCTTCTTCTACTCCTCCTCAACCTCCTTACTCCTCCATGCCTCTCACCCTTCTCATCGACCTCCTTTCTACCGCCATCCGCCACCGTCGCGTTACCATTCTTCCTCCTCATCGTTACCACCCGTCCTCCTCCTCCTCCTCCTCCTCCTCATCGTTACCACCCGTCCTCCTCCTTACCTCCTTCCCCTCGTTCTCCTTTTCCTCGTCGTCCTCCGCCTCCTCCTCCTCAGCCTCCTCCAGCCGCCGTCCTCCATCGCACCCGCGTCGGCCGCTTCTTCCATGGCCGGCTCCTCCACGTCGGCCTGCGCGGGCGGGATGATGGTGGTGGTGCTCCGGGGCAGGGCGGAGGCGGCCGAGGAGGAGCAGGGGCCTTTCATAGGCCGCTCCGCCCAGCATGGACATTGCCGGCTTCCCATCTTCAGCGGCGGGCCGAGTCCTCCTCCTCCACCTCCTCCTCCTCCTCCTCCTCCCCCTCCTCCCCCTCCTCCTCCTCCTCCTCCTCCTCCTCCTCCTCCTCCTCCTCCTCCTCGCAAGCCATTGTGGCTCAGAGGGGAAGGCCCAGAACACTTCCCGGCAGGCTGGCGGCCTTCTGAGCCTTCTGGGAGGGCCTGCTCCCTCTCACCTCCCCCACTCCGCGTGCCGCCGACATCTTTTGCTTGCTTGTCGCTGTATCATTTGTAGGGACCGCGCCCCGGACTTACCTTTGACGCCGCCTGCGCTTTCGCTTGCGGCTGCGACAAAAAAAAGTGCCGCCGACATCTGATGGGAGTGGGGCTCCACGATGCGGCAACTGACCGCGGAGAAGGAGGAACAAAAAGGGGAGACGGGACGCAGCGGTCGAGGCGCGGGCGGCGGGCGCGCAGCGGACAATGAGGGGGGCGGGGCGACCCGGACCCCCATCGAGGATCGAGGGTCTTATTCTTTAGATGCTTCTGTCCGCGGAGTCGCGTTAGGCTGTGGGCCCCTGCGGGGCCGAATCAGGTCATGATTGGATGAACACCTCAGGGTGCTAGAGCCAGAACGGCTGCGTCATATCAAAACAGGCTATACTGACATCCCTGTTGCTGCAATACATTCATGCACTGCTGGGGCACACCAAGATACGCTCTCCAAAGCTTTCGGGGGGTAGCTTAGCTGTGCTGCGCTCCTCCTGAGCTCCTGACCTAATCGGGAACTGTCTCACAACCTAGCTCGCAACGTAACTGACACTAGCAAAGCTCGGGCTGGTACCTGTGCCCTGGGTGCTCCCGAAGAGTCCTCCGGGGCCAAGGCCGCAGTGCGGGGCTGATCTCCCCACGCCCGCAAGCAAAACAAGGACATAAGGGTCCTCGAGCGGCTTGGTCTAGATGTCCGCCCGACTGACATCCGTGTTGGCTTTGGCGATGGTCATCATGCGGTTCCGCACCTCTCCTGGGCCCGCGGTTACTTCGTCTCCAGAGGTGGACTCGGCCGCAACCAGCCTGGGTGCAATGCTCTTCGCGTCAGAGCTGTCGGTTTTCGCCTGCGGCATCGCCTCGATGCCCATCTCACCGAACGGGCGCTTGAACCAGCGCCCTCGGGCCGACTCGTTCACGATGTCCGTGAACTCGGCCTTCGCGCAGCTCAAAGGATGGTTGCCCTGCTGCGTGCTCCAGCCATCAAGCAAGTGGCTCCCCAGAGCAGGGAGCCGCCGTCCACGGACTTCCGGCCTGGTTCCGACGCCCACTTGCTGTCGACCTCGGCCACGATCCTTTTGTGCATCCTCTGGAACTGGAAGAAAACTCGTACTGCGTGTGCTGCTCCAGGTAGCTGTCGAGCCGCTGAGCAACTAATGGTGCCACGTGGGGATCGCCATCCCTCGCGTAAGATGCCCCGCGGCCTGCTGGATCCCGAATCGGTCATTCGCCAAATGCAGAGCTGTCGGTGCCATGCTGTTGTACGTGGCCGCGCGATCTGCTGGAAGTAGGTTGGCTGACTCTCGGCAGTCCATGCCAACCATCTTGGGCGATGGCGTGATCGCTCGTGCTGTGGTGATCGTTCTCTCCAATCTTCCTATTGGGCACTGTGCTGATCAGGGCCTCCACGTGCTCCTTGCCGCAATGGATCCCGAACCTATTAGCAGGACATGTCGGGGTCCTCCTGAGGAAGCTTCTAGACTCACCTCCTCCTTGTCTTGGGTTCCCCAATCGAGGCGTGGCTCTCACCTTGAAGTCAGTCTGCACTGGGTGGTCGAGCCAATCGAGAGCGGGCATCCGACCCCCAGCCAAGAAGTCACCCCCGTGGATGATGACCAGCAGGTCGTGCTCTTTGCGGTAGTAGACCTGCGCCATCACCTCCATTCCTTTATGACCTTTTCGATCGGAGCCACGTCGTAGACCAGGTCGAGGGAAGCTTCTGCAATGTTCACTAAGAGTCCTGCGTTCGCCATCGGCTAAGCCCCCGCGCTGAAGCCTAGGGCCTTACGCTCCCAGCTAGTCTCGATCATGGCCAACTCCGCCACGCCGTGGGAATCTCCCAGCTCTAATCTGCCGTCTGACATCCGACGGTCTTCGTCCATGGGGGCGGGTGGTGGAGCCTCGTGTTGTGCCAGTGGTGACTGTGGTAGAGCTAGCTGGGCCTGATCTGCAGCGTGTGGCTCCTGATCTGGAGCGGCTGGCAACTGGGGCGGTGCTCGGCTGGAGCCGCCGCCGACCTCGCGGCGGTGGCGCCGGCGGCTGCCTTCGTGGCCGCGTCCTGCTTATCCTCTCACTCCAGGGCCTTTATGAGGTTCTGGGCGCGTACCCTGCAAGCTTCCGCGTGCGGATAGCTGAGTCCGTAGTGCCCGTCGCAGTTGGGAGTCGTGCCGACCTCGTCGATGATGGCTCTCGCGACGCACCTGCGCCCCGCGGCGGGTTCGGCAGCTTCTGGGCCAGGCCGCGCGTCCAATGGCTTGCAACCGGTCTGCTTGAAGAGGTTCTCCTCTCAGCGCTGACGCTCGATCCCCCTCGCGATAGCCCTGGCGGGCCTTTCCCGAAGTCGCTGCGCGGAGATGTTCGCCCGCGCGGTTACATTTGCAGGTCCAGATCGCCTTGGCCCAGCGAAGCTCGGCCGCCTGGTGGGAAATGTGCTGGATCTTGTGCGTGGCTGTCTCGGCGAACTCGCAGATGGCTCCTCCGTGGGGTCGTCCAGCGAAGTGCTGGCGCGGCGTCGAGGCGTTCTCCTTCGCGGGATACCGCGATGGGACCTGCCCAGGGCGCTGGTCCATCCAGCCCGTCACTCAGCGGTCGAATGCGAGCTTCGCCCCGTGTCCGGATTCGGCAGCGGCCCCCAGCGTGCGGAACGTGCCTTCGAATATATTGTTGGCGTTCTCGATCGCGCCCTTACTCTTGGTTTCATGTCTGGGCCCACTGCGTGGGATCGCCCCCCCTGCCGTCCGAGCTGGATCGCGCAGACTGATGCTTGGGTGGCTGGCTCACCGTCGGCGGCGAGCATGACGCGATGGTTGCCCCGCGTGCGCGTGGCCGCCGCCGTCGACGTCACAGCGATAGTGGCTGGGCCTTCCGTCGCAATTTGCCCGCGCTCGATTGCTCCAGACTGGACCTCGAGGATGTCGAGTACAGTCAGAGGGCCCAGGGCCCCCCCTCGATCTCCCTCAGAATCAAATTGGCGGTGCAGGCGAGCGGGATGCGTCGGGGGATCTGGGGCTCACTTGTTTATCCAATTCCATGTGGCAGAACCGGTGCCAGCCTCGGCATGGCCAGCGAGTGAGTCTGTGCGAATCTCGGACCGCTCGATCAGGCATCGCAGAAGAATGCCTCGGGCCCTGGCTGCTGCTACCTCTCCAGAGGCGTGCAGGAGCACTCGTCCCCTCGCTGTCGTCGGACTCCTTCTCGCTGCTCGTCGGCTAGATCAGGCTGACCTGGGGCTGTGCTGAATACTCCAGTGCCGGAGCGGAGGGGCCGGCTCCGCTGGGCCCGATGCCGCCGCGCCTGCCCCGGGTTCTCCTTCGTCTGGCGGTGCCTGGCGCGGCGCCGCTCGTGCTTCTGCGTTCGGCTGGATCGGCGAGATGTGGATCGGCTCAGGTGTCCGCGGCCGGCCTCCCCCGATCCGAAGGTCATCCCGCTGCGGTAGAGCCTGAGCTTGCGCCCGTCGTTCAGCAAGATGCACGGCTCCTTGCCGAGAATGGGGGCGTGACCGCTCGGCGCTCACGGTCGCCCTCTCGACGTTCGTGACCTGAGACGATCTGGCGGGGCGCGCTCTCGATCTCCCCTGTTGCCACTTTGGCGTCGATCGACTTGACCTCCTTTCCTGTCCGTGGTTCGCACATGGAAGCGATTTGGCTGTCAAGAGTGGCGCGGATACCGCGAAACCCTGCGGGCGTGTCGCGGGCCTGGAGCCCGTGTCGAACAGCGCCCAGGCGTGCGCAGCGACATCCCCGCAGGTCGCGACCAGTGCGTCGCAAGTGGGGTCGTGGGTCATACCCGCGCACCAGTGTTCCTTGGGCGTACTGAAACTGTCTGCATGCTCGTCCAAAAAGGCGTGGATTTGGGCGACCTGTGCCGTCAACGCCATTGGCGGTGGACCTCGTTGAAATGATTGTTGGAGCTGCATCTGCACCATGAGTGCAGCCGCCTGGCCGATGTCAGCCGTCGGTGGGATGCTGCCCGCGGAGGACGGTGCTTGCAACTGGGGCTGGGTGCCTCCCCCCGCCGTATTGCTGCGGACCCCGCTGGCGTTCTCCGTTGGAGCTGCTGCCTTCCGTGGATTCTTCTCGTCCGCCTTCTTCTTCCGACAGTCTGCAACCAAGTGTCCTGCCTGGCCGCAGTAATGACACTCGCGAGTCTCCTTCCCCTTGCCCGGGGAGTCGCCCTTCTTGCCTTTTGAGTCTCCCTGATTGCCTTTGGGATCACCTGTCTTGTCTTTGGGACTTTCCTTCGGGTTGAGGCAGCCGACAGGCATGGGCATCACATGGCCCTTCTGGAATCTGGAGCCGTCCAGCGTCTCTGAGCTTGGCAGATAGTCTTCAGCTCGTTTCTGACTTCCATGAACGTGTTGAGCCTGGACGCGTCGATGCTGAGGTGGTCCGCGAGCTTCTCGTTCTTGATTCTAACATGACGGCTCCCCTCTTCATGTTGTGCGAGATGGTGTCGCCCGGCTGGTCGACGTACTACCTCACGAGCAGCTCGAACTCGGTGAACAACGTCATCACGGGGCCGGGAAACCCGTATCTGATGATCTTCCCGAGCATCGCGGCGAACCTGTGCGACTCCTTCGGCGCGAACTCTCGCAGAACCTGCCACCATGATGCCAGGCCATCTACTTTTTGTGGTTTCCTGATAACGAACTTGGCTGTGTCCGAAATCAACGGCACTAGGATGTAGTAGAACTGAATGTTCAGCGTGATGCCCATCTCGTCCTGGACTGTGACAGCCTGCAGGGAGATCATAGCTTGCTGGATGAGCGTTCGGGGTGCGCGGTTTGCGTGTACGCAACGAAATCGGAGCTCCACGTCTTCCACTCTGGATGAAGCCCTGAGAAGATGCGAGGCTTGTTCAACAACATGGTGTCCACCATCTGGCCGCCGAAAAGCTGAGCTGCCGTCGCGGGGTCGTCGGATCCGTCGATCGATGTGGCCGCCGCCAATCGCTGCTCAACTTGCTTGATCCGTCGCTGCAGATCCGCGTTCCCTGCCAACACCGCAAGGTGCCTGGTCACCTCGCCCCTATGAGTCTCACTCTCTCCATCACTTTTTGTTTCATCGAGGCGGGAACGCCGCCGAGGGAAGCCAGGACAAGGAGGGCTGCTCTCGCTCGACGGCGCTCCGCTCCTACCCGAAGGGGTCGCGTTAGGCTCTGGCCCCTCGGGGCCGAATCGGATCATGATTGGTTTTCCGCCTCAGGGCGCTAGAGCCAGAACGGTTGCGTCAGATACAGTGGAGGCCAGTCCACAAGAAACCTTCCACAAGGAACCCAACCCTGAGACCCCAGAGCGTCCACTGACTGTTGGCGTGGGAACGCCACGCTTTCTATAACAAAACCATCGAAATCCAAGAAACCCAGGGCACACTTGAGGCAAGCAGGGTGTTCCTTGGCATGGGTCTCCACTGTGAGAACAGGCCATACTGATCTCGCTGTGTTGCACTCATACAGTGCTGGAGCACACTTGTACACACTCATACAATGCTGTGCTGCATTCTGGCCTTCTTGTGGGTCTCGGGGGGGGGGCTCGTCGCCGCGGATGGGTCCGCCACGAACTTCTGGTCCAAACGCACCCCTAGATGGGTCCAGGGGTCCACCTGTCAGGCCCGTCGCGAAGAACACGCCGGACGGTTTTTGCTAACGTGCTCTCGGTCTCCCGGGGGCCTTGCTGGGCGCCGGACCGTGCAAAAGCGGCCCGAGATGGAAAACCGGCCAAACGGGTTCAAACCTCTGCTGGTCTACGCTGTGAAGGAATCGAAATTTGTGTTATTGGACATAACGCGCGTTGTGTGGCTGGGTGGGTGGGTGGGTTCGCCGGCACCTAACAAAACACATCCGCGCTTGGCCAGTCAAGCGGCTGTAACCCGTATCATGATGCAGCAACGTCTTGGCACGCCACGTGGAGCGTGTCCTGGCGCATAATTGGGCCTCCCTCCTCGCCATTCCGTTAGTAACGGAATGGCGAGGAGTGAGGCCCAGGTTCGAGGTTCGAGGAATGAGGCTTCTGACTGTTGTTCTACCTTTTGGGAGCTTCGGGGAAGCTCGTCACCACGGCTGGATTCCCCTCGAACTCCTGGCCCAAACGCACCACTGGAGAGGTCCAGAGGGAAGCCCAGAGGCTTGGGGGGAGGGGGAATAGGAGGAAGGGGAATCAGATGGTCGTCCTCGTCTTCCTCCTGTCCTTTCCTTTGCCTCCTCCTTGCCCTCATCCCGATCTTCCCCCTCGTCCATATCACCGCGTTGTCCCCGTCCCTGGTACTCGCTCTCTTCACCCACCTCCACCTCCTTTTCGTTTTTCTCCTCCTCCTCTTCCTCTACCCCTCTTCCTTATCCGCCACCGTGCCGTAGGCACCGAGTGGAGCGTCGTCAAGTCCGTTCGAGTTCTTTGTAATCCCGCCACCGTGCCTGGTCTGTGGACCAGTGAATTCAAATCTCCTGGGCTCTCTTGGGGTCACATGTTGTTGCTCGTATGTTCTCGGGGATCCTCTTGCAGCGGTCAAGGAAGCTCCTGGGGCCGTCGAAAACGCCCTTGCTGAAAAAATCGTTCAACCGGTAACGCACGAATCAAGCAGCTCCCACGGCTTTCAACGAATCGTACTTCGCATTTCACCTAAAATTCAAAGTGGATGTTCGGAAACAAGAGACGGTAAGGTGTATGCCAATCATCGAGACGTCCTAACCTTCGGGTGCTCGAAAACACGCGAAGGCAACTCACATCATCGAACAGTGTATGTTATGTTGAAGCTGCAGGGACCTCCTGGGAGCATCTAGGGCAAACATCTGGGTCGTGGGCAATCATCTTCTGAGAGGCCTTTCAGCGTCTCTCGAGGGCCTCTTGGAGGTCTCTTTGGGGCCTCTTCGGGGGCATCTTGGAGGCCTTTTCGAGGAGGAGGAGGGGGAGGAGGAGGAGGAGGAGGAGGAGGAGGAGGAGGGGGTCTCCTGGGGGGCTTTTGGGGCCTCCTGGACTTCTGGGGGCCTCTTGGGCCTCTTCTGGCGCCCTCGGGACCCGTCTTCGGGTGCTCTTGGCCGCTTCGGGGCTCTCTTGGGTGCCTCTTCGGCTGTTTCAGTTGAACGCTCTTGACACCGAGCAGCCCAGCTCGCAGAACATCATGCAATAACTCAATGTTTCGATGATTTTCGCCTGGCCCCAGGGCGGCCAAGAGGGCTCCCGGAGTATCTCCAGGAGGCCCGGCTCGTCCACATAGCCGCTTTCAAACAATGGGGGGGGCGCGGCGGGGGTTCGCTAGAGGCGTCTTCGATCCGCCGCTGCCGCAGCATGTCAGGGGGGGTGCTCGGAGGCGTGCCAGACTTCATGGTTCGTCTTGGTCCTTCCAGATGGTTCCTGGTGATGTTTCATCGGCTTCCCCGCCTAAGCAATGGGTCCAAGAAGGTCTACAAGACGGCCAAGACGGCCCCAAGAGAGCCCACGATTGCCCGAAGATGCCCCCGAGGCGGCCCAAGATTTTTTCAAGAAGGCCCAGAATCGCCTCGGCTTTCGCGCTCTCGCCGTATCGGTCTGCCGAGACCCCAAGACGGCCCAGGTCCCAGGACCCCAAGACGGCCCAGGTTTTTCTTCCACCCCGCAGGGCCCCGCGGTTCCGAGGCCCAGTCCTGGGCGCAAGTGAGTGCGGCACCGAGGGGAAGGGCATCAGGAGGAGGAGGAGGAGGAGGAGGGAGTTGCGTCACTGCGCGGGCCCGCATTCGCTCATGCCGATTGGGGAAGGGGCCTCGGCTGGCCCCTCGCCCGCCGCCGCCGCGGCAGAATCGGTGGCCTCCTCGGGCTCGGCCAACAGCGACCCGATGGACGCGCCAGCCGTGGCAAGCAAGGACGACGCCAACACCTGGAAGTCCAGGTCTGGGGTGAAGGTTGACCACGCGGCGAAGCAGCCCGCGGAGGCCCCCGCGAGCCGCGCGGCGGCCATGTAACCCTCTGCGCACGAGGCGCCCGTACACCACCACCATGCCTGGCCAGGGCCGCCCTGCGCCCCGCTACTGTGGTGATTGCCCTCCTGGCCGAGGCCAGGCGGGTCTGTACACCACCGCAGGGCCCAGGGTGGCCCTGGCCAGGCGCCCTCTGCGGACGAGGCCATCTCGTCCCAGCCCAGGCGGTGGTGTAGAGTTGCCCTCTGCGGACCTTCTCGCGTAAGCTCTGGGCGCGCGGCCCGGCACCCTGGCGCAGAGCGGCGGCCAGCAAGCAACTCTCGCTCCTGCCGCTCTGCGCGTAGCGATGGGCCCCGGCCGCGGCGCCCACGGCCTGCGCGGCGAACTGGGCGGGGCTCTGGGGCGCGAGGAGGGCTGCGACCAGGCCTCCGAGGCCGATCGCGCACACCGCGCCGCTGCAGAACTCGCCCATGAGGCACCTGCCAGAGTGCCCGGCTGCGCCGTCGCCAGCTTCCGAGCCGGATGGGCTCCGCGCGGCGGCCGAGCCCGCCATGCGGCGCACCCCTTCGGGGCGAAGGCTGGCGCCGACCGCCGCGCCTTGAGCCAAAATGGCTACGGCTCTAAGCGGTCAGGATGACCCCACGGTAACCCCAAGGCGGCTGAAGAAGTGCCCCAAGAGTCCCAAGACGGCCCACGCCTCGAGAGCACCCCAAGACGGACCATCAGAACCCCCAGGTGGCCCTGGAGAGCCCACGGAGGCCCCGAGACGGTCCACATGGCGCAAAACGAGCCACAAGCGAGCCTCAAGATGGTCTTTGAGGGTCCCTCCCCAGTTGCTTCCACAAACGCTGGGGGAACATGCAGTCCACCAGCATGGCCGCACCTTCGCTTGACGTTTCACCACACAGTCGCTTCCAGAGGGGAGGTGGCGGTGGTGATTTGCCGTAGGCATCTTCGAGACATGACTCCTCCTCGTCGCACCACTAGACGTGTCGGTAAGGCGGTCCGTGCGTTTCGCCTGAGTCTTCTTGACGACTCAGGACCCTGGAGCTTGAAATCCCCGACAGCTACAAAGATGAAGGGCAGGGCGTTCTCAAAGCGTGGCTCTCGCCTGAACGCGAACGTATTTACCCAACAACTACACTGGCGGAGAACGGACGGTTTTTGATATGTCTTTCTCGCCTCAGCGCCGCGCGTGTTCGTCTCAATTAACATTTGTCAGCATCGACACGGATGGACGGCGGGTGGTTTCAGAAGAAGGTTCTTGCCTGAATGCCGAGAGCACTATGTCGAACAATCCCCAGCAATCGCACTGACTGTTTCCCCCTTTAGCATCTGATGTTTTGTCGGTCTTTGACCCGTCTCCTTCGGCGGATATCTGAGCTCGCGGTAAGTTGCGTGCCTGCCAGCTCGGGAATCATCCTCCTGCTGTGCATTACTTTTCCTCCTCCTTCCCCCTCCTGCCCCTCCTCCCTCCTCCTCGTCTCCTCCGCTCCTCGGCGCCGCCCCGAGGCAGCTCGGGGGCAACCCCAGCCGCGGGGGAGCCAATCCACGTTCTCTCGCCATGTGTCTCGGCAGGGGCCGAAGATCCGCCACCGTGCTTTTGAGGCACGAGTTGGATTGTCCTCAAGGCCCCGGCTGGATCCCCCGGGGCCTCAGCCGTCAACCGCGAAGATTCGTCAAAGGGTCCAGACCTACCTGGGGCGCGTCGCGCGGCCCCCGGGGCCAGTCGCGTCCTGTCGCGTCGGCCCCAAGAGGGGCCCGAAAGGCCCCCAACGGCACCCAAAACGATATAATAATGCCCCGGATCGCCAAACAATCGGAGCAAGACGCCCAAGATGGCCTCCAGTCGGCCGGAGACAAATCGAGGCGCCCCAAGAGAGTGCCAATAACCTCCCCAAAAGGACCCCGAGAAGCCAACATCTTTGTTTGTTCCTGTCAGTTTTAATTGTGTCTGGGGCTCTCTCAACTTTTCAAACTTTCGACACTCCAAAACAGGCCAAAAAACCCCACGACCGCCCCGAGACGACCCAAGGGGCCCCCCAAGGGTCCCAGACGGCCCAAAAAGGCCCCAAGACGGCTCACAGACGGTCTCAAAGCGCACAAGACGACGGCCCAAAGATAACCGCAAAAATGACTCAAAAAGGGGGCACGAATGGAAAATCCGAGTCTTCGGTCCCAAAGAGGCCTCCAGGAGGCCCCAAGGAAGCAAGCGCCAAGGGGCCCCCTAAGAGGCCCCAAGAGACCCCCAAGGGACCCCCCACACGGCCCAAGAGGGTTCCGAAACGGCCCCGAAGTCGCCCATGACGGCTCAAAGACAGCCCCAAAAATTGACCAAGGGGGGCACGAATGGAAAATCCGAGTCTTCCGCACCAAGAGGCCCCAAGGAGGCGCTCAGAGGCCCCGATGTTACTGACGTTGAACTGCCTGTACATCCTCGCAAATAAGCTCCGCGAAGTCGAGGAATGTGGAGTGAGGCCAAAATGTCGCTGGAAATGCAAACCACATTTTTAAACAGGGAGCCCCACATCTTGATCTGGTGCACGCCTGGATTGTACACCTGCAGATAGCTCAGAAAAGGGATCCCCTGAATCATTCGAGAGAGCAAGTGGCGTCGGCACAGATGACATGCAAAGTAAGAACACGTCTCAACTTACCCCAAAGAAAAGGGAAACATGTGAAGCACACTGCTCCTGCTTCTTTGGTAAAAACAGCGGGAGTATCCCAACCACTCTCACCGTAGTGCTGTACGATCCTCGCAACGAAGTCCGCCTTGATTCCTGAGCCCGGTAGCTCCAGTTCCTTCTGTAGCCCCTGTAGGGCATGCGCTGGCAATTGCTTGAGCTTCGGCTCGATGGTTTGCGAATTCCTCGCGCGCAGGTTGTTGCAATATTCTTCTGAACTGAGACCGGTGGTGCGTTTGGGTGTCCATGGCAACTCCGTGCCCATTGCATGATCCCTGACCGCGCACAATCAAGTCTTCAGAGCTGGCAGCCCGAGAAACTAGTTTCATGACCGCACCCGGCACCGCCGGTTTGGTCTGATGCGCAAGCAGAAACGTGCAGATCACTGCCGTCCATCAAGCGCCGTGTGACATGCCTGCTGTGAGACTCGATGGGCACGCCTGCTGTAGAAAACGCCCGCTGGGGAATGCACAAGCTGTGACCACTGGCCCACTGCTGGCTTAATGAGCGTCGAAACTGGCTGTGAAGCTGGGCCACTGAGTGACCCGCTGCGGTAGCTGCTGCGAGAATCGGGCAGGGTGTCCCCGACGAAAAGCTGCTTGCCACGATGCTGGAAAACAAAGCCGCGCACATTGAACGAGAGGGCCTGTTACCAAGTCAAGTACCACTCATATCAGCTTGGTGAGCCACCTCGTGAAGATCGATGCAGGCGATGTCATCGTCGGCGCTGTAGTCTCTGGGGTTTTGCATCGCACGCGTTGAGTTCGTTGGCGTCGAGCTGCAACTCGACGCATTGTGCGCGATGTATTTCGTCCGAGGGGTCGGTCAGCTTTCGCTCTCTGGGTGCGGGCGCCTGGGGGTTTGGCCCGAACGTTCGTGAGTCCTTGCTGAACGCGCGATCCTGGTAGGGCGTGCTCATGTTATTCGTGGGGCCGTCCGCGAGCTGCTGCTCGGATCGCGCCCGCTTGATGCCTCCGCGCTGGCGCTCCTGCCTGATGGCGGCGGCCTCCGCAGACAACCGTCGATCTGATAGATGGGCGCTCTCCCTGACTACGCAAACCCATAATGAACGACGGTCAATTATCAAGGCGCCGTTCCACTCCTCAGCTGCTTACGGTACTCATGGCCGAGCTTGTTGGCGGCGAAGATTTCCGCGCGCGCTGCGCGCGCCCAGAAAGTTGCGCCCTGCGCCCCCGAAAATCCGCGGGCATTCTCTGAGAAGGGCGCCGCGAGACGCGCGACACATTCGACCATTTGGCCCAGCCAAAAGCATGCGTGGGTAGAGCTTGGCGCGGTCCTCCGTCACCGTCATGTTACCGTCTCCCGCCATGCTGTCGAATCCGCGCAGGCTCTGTGGCTCAACATGTCGTCGAACGACGCGTCGCGCGAGGCAGCGATCGCCGACTTCGCGAAATCGAGACCTCCACGAAATGCCGCGTTGATTTCCCCTTCTCGCCGGGCGGGGCGGACCAGGTTGTCCACGCACTTCAGGTCCTGCACCGTCGGTTAAGACATCTGGCCCGCCAGCCGGGCTGCCCCGAAACTGTGCTTGCGATGTAGCAGGCGCACCGCCCGCTGAACCTGTGTATTCATGACTCTTAGCGCTCGATGTTCAGATGGGGTGAGCTGCTCCTTCTCCTACTTGGCCATGTCTCGGGGCGTCTGGGAGTATGTCATCCCGTCGATGTACTCATCCATGTCGGAAAAGATGACGTAGCCATTATTATGCTTGAACCGTCAACCTGTGGAAACAGCTCCCTCTAGCTTGTTCTGCAGCTCGTGCCAATCGCCGAACTCGACCTGCTCCTTGAGCTTCGTGGTGGCCTGCTGACATAATCACTGTTGCCCCCCATGTCCAAGGCCATCGGCTTGTCGTCGACGCGTCGGCAAAGCAGGCCCACATCTATGCATGAGCTTGAAGGCGGAGGTCCCAAACTGGACCTGCTCGACGCCGACGTCCAGCAAGATCTGGGCGATCCCGCATCACCAACGCCTTGCCACAAAGTTGGTGCCATAGATGCGCGCGTTCAGCTTCAGGAGGCTTCCTTCTTCGAGTCCGGGAATGTTGGGTGCCCAGTGTATCCCAAGGCAGATTGAAGCGCAATCCCTCTCGATCTTGACCCCCTGCGACAACGCGCCTATAGCGCCCGCAGTGCAGCGGCTGAACCTTTCGCACGCCGCGATGCTGCGCGGCAAGTTCTGCGTGGGCGGGGAGCATATCGGATGATCCACGCGTAGCTTCTCGTCGCGCTTCTCCTGGAAGCCCTTGCCGACGATCTGGCGCGCGGGCTGGAGGTCTGCGTTTTAGTCGCTGCCTTGGTTGGTCCATGCGGCGCGGCGCTCGATCTGCAGGCCCTCGTCGGTCCTCCTGGCCGTGGTCTGCGAGGAGACCGTCGCCGCGTCGTACTTCGCCCTGGTGCTCCACTCCTTGATCAGAGCATTGGGGCACTTCTCGTGCGCTCCTCGGTGCTGTTGTCATTCCGATGGAACGCCTCCTCGATGTCTATCTCGGCCTCGGACTTGCGGCCACAGAAAACGTATCGCAAAACGGCTGATTGGCCGCGTGCGCTGCGCGCGCCCTCTCGCCCGCGTGGGCCACAAACCTGTCGCGCCCGATATTTGCGCGACACCCATGTGCCGTGCTCGAAACTGGCGTCTTCCGCTCGAGGGCGTGCGTCTGACTTCGGTCTCCTCTTTCTCTTGGGCGCGATTCGCTCGCTGTCAGACGTGTTGATGCTGGCGAGCGTTCGGTTCGGTAGGCCCGCTGCTGGGTCCCCCCTGCCGCTGCGCCTGGCGGTGGTTGCTCGGGCGCTGGAGCTGAATTTTCTGGCCCGTATGACTCCGGGGGCCATTGTGGCACTGTGCCCTC